TGGCAAGTTACTAGAGGCTGTGACATTAGGTTCAATTAAGGAAGACCTGATCTCAATAAGAAACACCTGAGGATGAGAAGGTAGCATTAAAAATAGACACAAATTCTTCCCTTCCTTTCATCCACATCCTTGCACTACAACGGTGCAGATCCTCCTGTGAAGCCGTGGAGTCTATCTCCTTACCCCTCGGATCTGGGCTGTCTATACAATTGGCTTAGGCCAATGAGACACCAGCACACATGACTCAGCAGAGGTTTGAAAAGCATCTGTGAATTCAAGGAGAATCAAGAATGTGCCAGCCGCCAGACACAAGACTGAGGCCATCCTAACTCATCTAACTCTGGACACCTCCCCAGCTGACTACAGTTGCATGAGAGAGCCTGGTAGAGAAGAGCTGAGCAGTACCAGACCAAAAGAACTATCCGTATGACCAGCAGAATTGTGAAAAAAAAATGAAGTGGTGGTTGTTTGAAGTCACTACATTTTGGGGTTTTGTTACACAGCAAAAGCTACTAAAATGAAGTGCCAAAAACCCAAGGCTAAATGGATGCTATGCGTACTTTAAGAAGCAGCTGATTAGTTCTGTGGCCTGAGAGTTTTGTCCTCTGTCTGAAGAAAGAGAATTGGAATAAATATGTGATTATTTATTACTGTTCCCATTAGTTCCGGAACAAAAATATCCTTATATATAGATCATCTAGTCTCATCTGGTCAATGTACATATGAGGAAGCCGAAACCAAAAGAGGAGGCTATAACTTGCCCAAGGTCACAGTGAGCTCCTGACCAAACTAGAACTACTTGTCACATCCTCCTCTCCCCCAGTTCCAGGGATTTTACTTACTAATTTTCTTGGGACCTTGACCAGTCCCAAGATTCTATGCTCTGTGATGCTATGGTTCTATAATTCCAAGACAGAGCGCAACAATGCCAGGGGTCCAGACAGCATTAGTACAAGAAAAGAACATAGTCTAGACTGAAGTACCAACTAAATCATTTTCTGCCACTTCAAAATATCAACCACACTATTATGGATTCAAGCGCTGCACACAGTCCCGTGTTTCTTGTATTTCCTCCAGAGATTGCTGCTCCCGAGTCTGAGTCAACAAACCTTTCAGCTGTGACCTATGGGAATCAAAGCCCCCTGCAAAAATTATTTGCTTCAAAAATGAAAATCTTAGGGGTAAGTAAGACTTGCCCCTACGTATAGTCTACTGAGGCAAGGGAAAGTATGTGGAAAAATATCTAGTGGCACATGTTTTAAGTTGGGAGCCAATTCCAACTTTTATTTCTATTCAATTCAGGAAGTATGGATCACATTTCTGTTTGATTTATGTACAAGATTTTGTGGAGAAGAAAATACAAGATGCATAAGCCAAGGTGCCTGGATTCTTGAAAGTCACAGTCTCCAGACTGACCATTTATGAGATTTTTCAAGTCAAGTTCAGAGGAAAAAGAAAAAGTAAAATCAAGTAGTCAATAGACCAGATTCTGTATCCTAGGTTATTATATTCTACAGTTGTATATTTTCCTAATCGAAAATCAGAATTCACAGTTTGACAATATAACATGGTATTTTTATATGTGGGGCTTTTGCAGAATATCATCTTAATAGCTTAAGTGCTCGTCTTTTCATCTATACATCTATCCATCCATAAATATTATTTTCTTTTATTTTCCAATTCTTACGTAAGACAATGTGGGGGCTTAAGTATGTTTGAGGCTGTAATATTCCCCATAACTTTGAAAACATTCACCCATTCAATCCCCAGCCTCTAAGGATGGAAATTTTTTTAAAAATTAATCTTTTTCAGACAAAAGGAGAGAAGTAGAGAAAGATGGCCCGCCAACATGCATAAGAGGACCATCAGTCTAAACTGCTTTAGCATCTATTCAAATATGATGGAATCCAAACTTCTGCTAAAGAGTTCAAATTATCTTAACAAATACATATTAAACTTGATGCAAGGAACTATGTTAGACATTGTGGAGCTTACAGAAATAAACACAACCTAGTTTTTCTTATTGAAGAGAATAAATATATAATTCAGAAGTAATAATAAAATGAAAATATTAAAAACTAGATTTCAATGGAGCATCTAATAAGGGCCATAAATGGTGGTGGTGATGGTGGGGGACCCAGAGAGAGAAAAGGGATGAGA